GAGAGAGAGAGAGAGAGAGAGAGAGGGTACTTCCATTCGATAGGATAAGCAAAATTGAACCAATCTACCGCTAGAACATGGAAATATACACTCTGAGAGAGACACAGAGAGAGAGAGAGAGAGAGAGAGAGAAAGAGAGAGAGAGAGCTACAACAACTTTTGCCTCAGGGTCACATCAAAATTCTTTACCGAATTTGAAATAAAAATTAACGGTTTTTTTTTTTGTTTTTTTTTTGGGCCGAGTCAGGCAAGTGGTCCCGGGCCAGTCTGGAAGCATAGGATAGAAGTTCATAGAACGCGTGCATTGTGTTCGGAAATAAGTATTGTTGTTCAAATAGAATGCATACGAGTTGTTTTCGAATAAAAAGCAACCTATGCGCTGTATTCATTTACAACTCGTATGCGTTATCTTCGGGGGAAGACGTTAACCAAGCATGAATGAAAGAGCAAACACTCCCTTGCAACATGGCAGGCAGGATGGTCAGGTTAAGGAAGGCTTTGAGTTTCAGATTGCTTGTAGATCGGGTGCGCTGGGGTTTGCCTGACACATCCGCTTACTGTTCCACAAGGACACAAAGCTTGTTTGCCAAGAATTAAGGAAAGAACTTAGCACCACATTTGGTAATAAAGTAGAGACTGGATACAAACAAAGCTAGGCTACAAGGGTAGGCCACAAACTGGAGTCCCAACCAATCAATCAATCATGTTGTACAGGGACACTGGAGCCGATTTCCAGCAGGTGTTGCGCCCCACCAATAGATGGAGCAGCCCAGCAGCCAAGGAACTTGCTTAACGGGGATGATTGTATCACCCTGTTAAGCAGATCACCCCGTTAAGCAGGCCACCCTGGGTATGAAATTGAAGGGGGGAAAAAAAGACAAAAGAAAAAAGGAGAAAGAACAAACACTTCCTTACAACATGGCGGCTGGGCTGGTCAGATTAGGTGCTGGGATTCAGCTGACACACGGATTTACTGTTCCACAAGGACCCGTGGCATATTAGAGAAGGATTAATGAAAAGAACAACCATGAAACGCAGAAGCGAAGCGACGCCTGCGGACAACACCGCCGCAGGACTTTTTCATATTCACCTGAGAAGCTTCATGATGCTCAATCTCCCCATCCCCGTCACTATCCACAGTGCAAAAGAAGCTTTCGAGATGATGACGCGCTTCCGCTGCAGCAGGAGTCATCAAACAGATTACATGGCGTAACATCACGTAAGCAACTCTCAAACCCTCTACGGCCTTGAGATATTATCACTGACCTGAACAGCCCCAGGTAACTCAAAAATTATTTTGTTCAGTTCGTCTCATTGCATCTGGATTCAAACTTGGGTCTGCATTTCAACATCTCATGGGTGTACACAGTTTCAAAACCCCTCTAAAGGCCCTCCTAAAGCATGCAGATCAGGTAACGGAAGGGGAAGAGGAGGACGGCAGGGAAAGGCCCCTGAAAGACCCATTTTTGAGTTAACAAAGAGGAGAGAAGGACCAGAGGAGGAAGAAGACGTGGATGAGAAATGGGAAGGATTCATCTCATTGCATTTCAATTTTCAACAGCTCATGGGTGTACACAGTCTTCGCTTTCAAGCATATACTCCTCTATAGGTCCCCCAACACACTCCCCCGACCGCACTTCCACCCTGCCCTTCTTCCCATAAGTAGGTGAGTACCCCCCAACCTCGGACCCCCTCCTCTCCAAATATTTGCCACTATCCCCTTGCTCTGCATGTAATGAACCCCCATTGAACACGTCCTCTCCCTCCTTCACATACGAAACCTTGCATGGAGAGCACTTTGCAACCCCCTTACACACTCCCGTCATCGCCCCCTTGAGCACCCGGCACACACATCAGCATAAAAAATGGCCAGAACATATCGAGCATCACTAGCATTTCCCATCCGCCGACCTACCAACCAATGTGGAACCATCATCCCCAGTCTAAGGACGACTAACATAGGGCAGGGGGGGGCATACTATGCCATATTTTTATTATTATTACTGTTATTATTTTTTAACATCCCCTGGAGATCTTGTGGTGGTAGGAGAACCAGCAGGATTCAGGCTTCTGGTTGGATGACTCCAATCTATTGGTGGGGAGCTGCACCAGCTGGAAACCGGGTCCCACGTCCCTTATAACAGTAGATGGAAACAATTGAAGGAGTACATCATAAACACCGGGAGCATTACCCAGCGTCACTGTGACAGAAGAAGACGGAGGGAAAATAGTGCAATGCAGGAGGTGACTGAAAGCCTACCTTCTTTCCCCGAACAATACGCATATGTGTTGTAATCGAATACAATGCATAGAATGCGTTGAACTGCGTTCGAATACAGCATATATGCGTTCTTTCAAATTTTTTGAATTTTTTGAAAACTCTAATACAACACATGCGTTCTTTCAATTTTTTTCAAATTTTCGAAAACTACAATACAACTCGTATGCGTTCTTCCAATTTTTTTGAATTTTTTGAAAACTCTAATACAACGCATATGCGTTATGCTCGGGGGAAGAAGGTGGGTAGAAGCATACAAACTGCTACACCCAGCCCAAAGAGCCTACACCTGCCTTTCCGCTAGAGGAGACCGTGGCCTTGCCAACTCTAGGATCGACCTTACACTTGTGTCAAAGGACCTGCTGGGTCTGGTTACCACTGTGGAAATCGCCACCGCCAGCCCTTGCAAGTCCTTCAATCACAGGATGATAACATTGGGGCTATCCTTCCATGGCCATATACAGAGGGGGCCAGGGTTCTACAACCTTAATTCCTCCCCGCTGCCTCTCCAACGATACAAAGACATGGTCAACGAATTTTGGCGATACTGGCAAACCCGAAAACCGCAGTCGGGGGATAGGGTGGACTGGTTCAATGAAGGCATGGCACAACTGAAGAACCGGGCCAATAAATTTTCCATTCAACGGGCGAGGGACCAAAGGGTTGTCCTCGACAGGCTCATGCGAGAGCTCGAAAACTGGGACGAGCAGCTCATGGACGACCCGCTGCACCGCCCGACCTTCGAAAGAATCCAAGAAGCTCGAGACCACCTCCAAGCCTATATAGAACAACAAGCCAGGCTTGGAGGATTCAGGCCAGAATCAAGAAAGAACACACAGATGGAACAATGGCCAAGACTTTCTTCCACAAGGCAAAAGGCTAGAACGAGGGCGACAACAATCCCAAGACTGAAACACCCGTCGAATGCAAGCGCCCCGATGACCTCCAATGCCTATACCAGACTATGCCCCCCACTACTATAGAAATCTCTTCACGTTTGAAACACCCCGAAAGCACCCAAACGAGGTCCTGCAGGCAAGGGAATCATTACTGCTAGCCGCCTCACCCCCACACAGAAGGGCGAACTAAACACGCCCTTGTCCTCCCAAGAGATACGTGAGGCCTTGCAAGGAATTGAAGATGAAAAAAAACAGGGATAGACTCATTTCCCAAAGAGTTCTGGGTGGAATTTTGGAACCTCTTAAATGACGACCTTATGGACTACGTTGCAGCCGTGCAGAAGGAAGGCTCATTCGGGGGCATGATAGGGCAAGGAGTCACCACAGTTCTTTATAAGAAACGAGACAAGGAGGACATTAGAAATTATAGACCAAACACCCTCCTCCTGGTCCCTTACAAACTAGTTGCCAAGGCCCTGACCAACCGACTGTTGCCATTGATGAACATGCTGATTCACCCAGACCAAACGGGGTTCATGCCCAATCGAAACATCCAAGACAATGTTCTCCTGGTCAATGAGGCCATCAAATACGTGTGTCAGCGCAAAGGTCCATGCGGCAATCTTGTTCATCGACTTTGAAAAGGCATACGGAAATGTTGACTGGGACTTCTTGGATACGTGCTCGATCAAAATGAATTTTGGCCCGACCTTTTGCCGCTGGGTGCAGCTCCTTCACAGGACCACTTCCACAAACATTATGCTAAACGGACACTTGTCACCACCAATCCAACTCCAAAGATCGGATAGACAAGAGGATCCCATAGCACCTCTTCTCTTTGTGACTGTTATGGAGGCCCTAGCCTCTCTGATCAGGCACATCCTCACATCAGCAAAATACCGATCCCAGATCTCTTGGAGCACCTCATCCCGGTCACATCACTGTTTGCAGACGACTCACTGTGCTCATACGTGCAGATGCGACCAGTCTGCGGGGTTGTGACTCACGTAATACACCTCTTTCTCGCTGGCCGCAAACATGAAAGTTAACTGGGGCTCCAAAACGCAAGGATGGTGGCTCCACCCCCGAGGACAGCCCCCCACTCCCTGAACCAAGTGTTGCATGGGTCAGGCGAGAAGAGACCATAAGAATCTTGGGGGTGAGATTAATAGTCGTAGGGCCCCCGTCGGACCATGGGGACACGTTGGTGAATATGGCAGTTGACCGCCTGGCCAAATGGGACGGATTACATGCATCCCTAGTCGGTCGCGCTCTAGCAATCAACAACGCCATATTGGCGGCCATCCGGTATAAACTAGCAGTATGGCCGCTGAAACCGCAACAATATTCTAGGCTAAAAAGGGCGCTCACAACCTACCTATGGAAGAATAATGCAAAAGCCAGGGTTGCATGAGCAGAGTCACAGGGGACTAGGCATATTAGACCCGAAAATGGAAAGTGACGCCTTGATTTCAAAATCCTAGCTAGGCTAGTCATTGGCAATGACATCCCGTGCGGACTGTTGGCCTGCCTGCAAATAACCAATCTCGCCCCGCAACCGGCTGCGTCCATCCGGGTGCACCCCTTCCGATGGCTCACCAACTCCCACTGGTCGATACCCGCCCCTCCACATCAGGCACAGGCTGACACCCCGGTGCAAGCCACCAGGCTAGACATTCCTCTCGATCCTCTGTGGCCCAACCTGCTCAAATTGTGGAGCGAAAGAGGGGCACGGTAGAGGCGGCCCCCGAATAGATGGCACAACGTATGGAGGCAACCTCTATTCGGCAACCCTTACATACTCGATGTGTCCAATGGTAGCCCAAATATGGCAGTGGTGTGATGCAGCATTCCAATCCCACACAGGGTACCACATCCCTTGGGACTTGGGTCTCCTTCTCCTCAACAAAAACCAGCATCTGCTGGCACGATGGTCTCCCTACACATCCAACCCCTTCTCCTACATGCGCCTGCACGTGCTACTGCTCACATGGAGAGCTTGGTGTGCCTTCGAAAGAAAAGACCATCACTTCGGTCTGCAACATGCACAGCAGGCAATAGAAGAAGGTATCAGAGCCCGAATACATGAAGCATGGAAAGAAATGAAAAGGGTGTGTCGTGAGTAGGACCCCATAGCCAAGGAAATCATAAGTCTGTCTTACCGCCAGTTATGGCAGGACCCGCATAACAGATTCTCATAACTGACTGCCTGCCTAGACATCCTGTGGAAACCATGGAGGGCCACAGAATCAGCTTGGGAAAGGAGGCCCTTCAACTGCTTCAAGGTCCCCTACTTCCCGACGAACTTTGTGCTTGTCACAAATTGTGTACCGGGCCCCTCATCACCTCCCCACCACCCCCTGGCTCAATCCTCCCTCCTCGTCCTCCTCTCCCCCGTTCCTCCGCTGCCCTCCCCGTACCCCGGTCGGCTCCCCTGCATCCCAACATCCCCCTTTTCACGGGTCGGTCACGGTCTAACGAGGCGAGCACAGACGACGACGACGACGACACGACGACATCAATGATGCCTGCTGGCCACCTGACCTGCTGGGCAACTGATACATGAGCCAACTGCGATAGCTACCGAACTCAAGGCACAGCAGTTAGGTAGCACCAGGGCGGGAAAAGTGTGAATGTGGTCACAACATTGTCAGCATTGTGACTACACGGTTTATGGGGTTTCCAGGAGGGGTTTCTGGCTGTTGGTAGCCTGCGAAAGCGGACAGTGGCTCCACAGTCTCTTGCTATCACAGCAGCGACATCTTGCACCCCTTGTCTCTGGTGGTCACAGATGCTAGACCAGGGTTCCAGCAGGAGCAGCTCCCCGCCGGTGGAACGGTCTGAGTCACGGTGAAACAGAACCTGGGAATGCAAGAGCTACGTAGCAGCGGGGCCGTGACGTTGGGGCCTCAAATGAAACATCTGGCACTGCAACCACAAGGTTATCTGGGCTCCCGGGAGGGGTCTCTGCATCGTTCTGCATGGTTGTGGGCCTGCAA